CTATGGGGATCCATGATTACATAAATTATATGTTTTACTCCTGTGCATGTGAAATTTGGAAGACCTTGAAATTACTTATTTCTTATTATAACACGTTTTGTTATGAGTTAGAAAACAAGATCTTCAGTCCTATATAGGGTGTCCTCTGTGTCGCAAAATACACTGGAATATTAAAGGGTCTATGGATTTAATTGGACTAGTATCAAAATTTGAAGTTTGAAAATAGCATAGATGTTGCCTTTCTTGCTTAGTTTGTCTAAATCCTAGATATTTACGTTCTTGTTAGGTTTGAATTTTAAATATGACCCTACAAGAATACAAATTCTTGGAAAGAAAACTTCTTCCCTACATTGTTTGGGTGAGGAAACTTGTTCCATGGTCATGGTGAATAAGCTCTCGACTGATGAAGCTGCCATGTTGTCTGGAAAGCTTCCAAACCTGAGATCTTAAATCTTGGAAACATGAAATTCAACTCAAAAGTTAAGGAAGATTGTTAATTCATTCATTGCAAGAAATTTGATCGCACCAAGCAGACTTACTTTAGGTAACTAGAAAGGAGAAGACTCTCATTCCTTTGGAAAAACTAAAGCTAAGGGTGGGCAAAAAACTCAGATTTTTAGATCCAATTTATAATAAACTAAAATTTATATTGTTTTAAGTCCATTTAAATGGATTTATCCCAAATCCATATCCATATTTTTAGATTTTAAATCCAATCTACTTAAATGGATTTGGATCAAATTTAGATTTGATCGTGTTTTAGAGTTTGAAAATCCAAAATCAAAGTGCATCTAAGTTGAGCCAAGGCGGTTGAGGATAAGGTTGAACCAAGAAGGCTTTGGTCTAAGGTCAAGTAGAGTCGGCCCAAGATGAAGGTGAAGCCAAATCGAATTAGGTCTAAAAGCTGAGCTGAGTTGGCCCTGTTCGAAGACCGAAACAAGTCAATCCGGGCTGAAGGGTAAGTAGAGTCAGCTCGAGCCAAAGGTCGACATGTGTTTGTCTAGGCCAAAGATCGAGAAATGTTAGTTGGCCTTGGCTAAATGGTTAAGTCAAGTAGACCTAATACAAAATATCAAGCCGAGTAGGTTGGGGCCAAAGGTCGACTCGAGTCCACTGGGTTGGAGGTCCAATTCCTCTTTTAATGTTTCTAGAGCTTTATGTTAGGACTCATAAGTTCTAGACCCTAGTGCTACAAAAAATATGACTCCTCATTCACCTATTTTAATATCATATGTTTCTCTTTTTGTAACCAAATTACTATTGTCAAACCACGAATGAAGAGATGAGTATGTCGTTTCTCTTTTTGTAACCATATTACTATTATCAAGCCACAAATGAAGAGATGAGTGGGTCAGAAAAGAACCAGAAATAGGAGATTGTTAACAAACCACAAGATAAAATGGCAATTGGATGCATATAAATCTATAATGTAAAGTATAGATTTGATGACATGTAAGATTGCTACAAAGCATTATTAGTTTCTAAAGGGTCTACTCAAACTTATGGTGTTGATTATGAGAAGACATTTACTCAAATGACAAAGATGAATGTTGTTAGAATCATTCTCTTATTAACAACTTAATTTGGTTGGGAATTGCAATAATTTGATGAGAAAAATACTTTCTTACATGGACATCTAGAAGAAGTCTAGATGAAATTTCTTCATGTTTGATATCTATCAAAGAGGAGAATGAAGTGTGCATGTTGAAGAAAGCCTTGTGTCAATGTAAACAGTCTCCTCATGCTTGGTTTGGTGTACTTAGTTAGGTTATGATGGGACATCGATAGAGTGTAGGTGGCCATAGTTCATCAAAAATTCCTTAGAAGGGAAACTTATTTGACTTTTGATCAATGCGGATGACATAATTGTTGTAGGGGGTGATGAATAGGCGAAACAAAACTCAAAAGAAAAGTTTGATACTTAGTTCAAGATAAAGGGTCTAGGAAAATTAAAGTACTTCTTAGGATAGAAGTATTTTACTCAAAGAAATACATTTTTATCTCTTAGATAAAGTATGTTCTTGATTTTCTCAAATAAACATGTAAGATTGATTGAAAGACCACTAGAGCTCCCTTAGAACAACATCATAGAATTTGATGTGATAAAGATATTTCTACTGTGAATAAGGACTAATATCAGGACTAATATCAGAGACTTGTAGGGAAGCTCATTTACTAAGCTAACATAAACTAACATAAGACCTGACAACTTATCATAGTCTGTTTATCCTAACTAACCGAATCATAGTCAGTTTATCATAACTAACCAAATCATAGTCAGTTTATCATAACTAACCAAATCATAGTTAGTTTATGCATGATCCAAGGGAGTGACATTTACAGTGTAAACAAAATCCTTCAATATTTGAAGATATGTCCAGGAAGGGAATTGTTGTTCAAGAGGAATGAAAAATTAAAATTTGAGGTGTATACTGATGCAAATTATGTAAGGCCTATTAGAAATAGGAGATTCATCTCAAGATATTGTGTTCTTGGATAGAAATTTAATGACTTGGAAAAGTAAAAGCTAAAATGTTGTTGCTAGGTCTAGTGCAAAGACTGACTTCAAGCTGACATATATGATGTGTGAATTGTTATGGTTCAAAAATATTATATGAAAGTGGCATGTGGAAAGCCCATAACTCTTTATTATCATAGTAAGTAAAGCGATTTCCATTTCTCATAATTTAGACCAATATGATAGGACCAAGCACATGAAAATAAACAGATACGTTATTGAAGAAAAATTTGATAGTGACTTTATCACCACCTGTTATGTCCCATTTGGGCTTCTTATGAATGAGGAGAAAATATCTTGTTAAGTTACTAAAGGATATTGTAATCATTACATGTGAACTATAGTACGATAATGGATATCTCTTCTTTGTTGTTACTTTTACGATAGAGTTGTCTATATATAATGCTTATGTACTGATTCTTTTATTCAATAAAATCTTTTATCTCGTACAATTGAATTCTTTTTAAGTGTTATTATGTGATTGATATTTTAGATATGCAATATATTAAGCTTTTCAGATAGTTAGTTCATGACATGGTACGAAAGTCTCTACGACTTACTGGGTCTGGAGTTGAATCCTTTCTATTCTTATCCTTCTTATTAAAGGTTGAATTGAATTTCTGCCTAAGGTAGGTCATAGGAGGAGTCGGGCATTATCCACACTTAAAGGCCAAACAACTCTTGCACGGGGGAATGTGAAATATATAAAGTACAATAGGTGAATACTATAATTGATCCATAAAATGTAGGCGAATTTCAAAAATTCGTGACTCAAACGATAATTTGACAAATTTTCAAGGACTAAAGTAAAATTTAGGACCTAAATAAAGTGACACAACAACATAGGGACGTTTTTTAATTTCTTGTTTTACTTCCAAAGACTAATGGGACAACTTTGGATGACCAATTTGGATATTCACTCAAAACAAAATCATTCATGTATCTTCACATAAGAACATTGCTTTTAAATAATTGGTCCATGATAGTAGTGATGGTAACTGTGAAATCTGTTATGTAAAGGTATCAAGTTTTTCTAGTGATAATTTAAAGTGGTCTAATTTATGCCTTTATTTAAACAGGTATGTATCTCTTGTGAGTTGTGGGAATATTATTGCATCATTACTTTCCTTTTTTATGAAATTTGATTAATTTAAAGTTGAAAAAATTCCAGGCAATCGGTCACTTGATTTCCTGCTCAATTTACAGGTTAATCAAATGCAACAGGAGCATGACAAGAAGCAACTAAGCCTCATAGCTGAGCACAATGAACAACTAAAGCGTACCCAACTGCTAGCTGAAAATGAACTGCGAGAGGTACCACACACCCACACACGTTTGACGGAGCCAAGATTTGTATACAAAATTCTTCAGCTATTGATACGTTAATGTAGAAAACAATCTTTATGAGGAATGATCATGAAGCTCAGATTAAAGCATTGAGATGTGAACTTGAAGATGAATGTCGGAAGCTAGAAGAGGAGTTGCATCTTCAAAAATCCAAAGTATGGAATACCTGATAGAATAAATTTATTTCATCCCATAATTTTATTAATATTATTTGGGGTATATTGCAGGAAGACAGACAAAGGGCTTTGTTGCAGTTGCAGTGGAAAGTGATGAGTGACAAACCCAAAGAGGACCAAGAAGTGAATTCAAAACAGGTTGATTTGTGTTTCAGTCTCTTTGTCTGCGTCCCTGTCCAAATAGATGCCATATTTGTTAGTTTTCATGTTTGGATACCATTGGTTTGGTATTAGATTTATCCTTCTGTAGGCATAATTGGGAAAGTGAGAAAACATTGCTGGTATAACATTTTAACCTAAAATTTCTTCTTTAATATTCTTTCAACCCATGCATTTTCTTCATTAAAATATTACCACTTATAGAATGGGCATAATCTTGTTACATAAAGCATAACTAATTTTTAATGACTCTTACTGACATGCTTTTATATAGATTTGAATGGCGCAGTTTCTCGTAGGATAGCTGTTTTAAAATTGAAGTTAAAAAGAATTTATTCATGATTTTGCACTTCACAAAGGGAAGAGAAGCCAGAGCTCTGAAGGCTTCATGTAGTTAGAGCAGAAATTATGTGTGGGTGATTTTAGATTATAGACATTGGTAGGGTTATGATTTGGTATATTTTATTGAAATCATGCGTCATTTCAAGCTCCTGACTCTCTTAAAGAGGAACGTTATGGAAAGTACCAACATACTTACTGTTTAGTGGTTTGTGAGTTTAAGGCCATTCCAATTGCAATTCATTTATTTTTATTATGATATCGTATGTTCTTAATAGTTCTCCTGAAATTTATGAGTGATTAAGATACTAAAGCAATTCTATTCGTGAGAAATGACATGAACGTATGAATATCATGATAATCTGGTAGGTAAGTGTTAGAATACATTAGCCTAGTGAATGTCATCAACATTTGTTATGAATTTTAGTTAAATTCTCAAAATTGGCGTAATGCTTTTTACATGATAGGACTACTCCATTTCATCAATTAAGAGAAGGAGTTCTTGTGGTGGCAAAAGAAATCTACAGCGTGACTTAGTAAGATCGAAATTCTAGAAAAGAAATTTTACTTTTTCCTTCCTTCGTAACAGGTTATTGTTATGTTCTCACTAAGTTACCTAATATCCTTGGTCTTTCATTACTTTGCAAGGACTCTCCTTACTTTGAAGCAACACAAACACCAGTGCCAAAGTTGTTGACAAAAGTGGACAACATTAAAACAGGAAGTGCAGTGAGCATACCTAAGCGTCATAGAAAGGTGACTTTCTTTACTATGAATTAACGGCCAAGAGGAGGCTTATTTTGCAGCAATTACGAAGCAAAAGATTAGTATTTTAGGGATCTTAATTCGTGACTTAGAAAGATGGTACGAGTAAATGACTTATGATATTTGGCAATTACCTTGGCTACTTAACTGAATTAGCAGGTAACTCGCCATGAATATGAAGTTGAGACTTCTAATGGGAGAACAATCACAAAGAAAAGGAAAACAAGAAGTACTGTTATGTTTGAGGCATGTATTTGTTTTTCTCTAAATTCTATTAACCATCTATATATATATATGTGTGTGTGTGTGTGTGAATATGACTACTCGCATGAACTTAACACTAACACACCAGATCTCATGGCTTCGGAGTGCGGACTTCTTACGTCTCTGTTAATATGGAATCTCTTGTTATTGTCAGGATCCTAGAAATCGAAAGATAAATACACCAAAAGTAAATACTCCTGGAAGTGTTGTTAAGGTAACCAACTAAGATGAAACTTCTTTTTTATTAGTATGTCATATTTTCTTAAAATATCAAGGAGCAAAGTTATCAAATTTGAACATTTTATTACATGTTTGGTTTTGTAGTAACCTCATGGTGAATCCCCTTCTTTTTAAAGGAAGCGTGTTTGACCCAGATTTGTGATTTTTCATCACTTGATAGAAACCATGTTAAGGTTTAAACAACAAGAGTCACTGTTCTAGCTTCATCCAGTGTCATATTTACCTTTCTGATGGTTGCATTTTCTCTAATTTCCTTCCTCATCTACATTTTGCTTGCTGGGTCTCTTGGCTCCCTTTCGTGGGTGGTCGCATTCTTACTGTAGTATCTCTTGAACCTTTCTTATAGGTTTTAACATTGGATTTCTAGCCAAAATTATTCTATTCGGAGGATGTGATATCTACATACATCCCTCATCTTTCGTCCTTCACTTTTTATTGGCGTGGTTAAGAAAATAAAACTCTATTGGTAGCTTGTGGAGAAGCATTTCTTGGAGTGGTTGAAAAGAATCTCTTTACTCATAACTTACTCATTTAGTTTTCTAAAATATTATGAATATATTTTATGTTTAATTTTAATAATTAAAATGAAATTAGAAAATATTACAATTAAAAGTATGTGTCAAAGTAGCTAATTACAGTTGAATATATACGTGAACTTTTAAAATCCATTTTGCTAAGTATATATTCAAAATCAATTATTAGTTAAAGTACTTAAACAATATTGTTTGCAAAACTCGATACACGTTGTTATACAAAAAGACTTGAGTTATTTCAAACTAAATTTTAGCCACAATTAATTTTTACATAATCTCATTCACTATATCTTCATTATTACACTATCCTGATGATACCAGAATTGATAATGCTAAGAGCTAATATGGTCTTATTATTTTAAAGAATTTTTTATATTTACTTTAGTTTATTATTTAAATTTCAGTGTTTTCCATGGTGATTACCTAATGTGGAACCTATTAATCTTTTCTCAGTAAATTGCTAGATTTGTAATTAGTTCTGTATAAGAATCTTTTGATTCTCTAGGTCCAATTGTTTTTCTGCAACATCGGAGTTAGTTCATCAAATTCTACTGATATAGTATAACTAAAAGCAAAAAGACGAAGGGTTTGTGCTTAAAGTTTATTTTCACCCTTTTGTTTCTAAAAGAATATAAAACTGATGGGATAATGATCCTTGTACTTACTTTTATTTATGCTGACATGTTATGGTATGCTATAGTAATATATGATGTTTCCTTTTACATATCATTAATGCAGAGCATCAAAGGAGGAGGGCATACTAATCCTTCAAATATAGGTGATTTGTTTTCAGAAGGGTCTCTTAATCCCTATGCTGATGATCCCTATGCATTTGATTAGAGGTATTTACGATCAGTTACTGACTAGAATCCTAATTTATTTCCTTTGAAAAATATGATGCTTCCTCCTAAAAGCTATGAAAAAAGCACTGGAGCCTTTTCAGAACTTCCTAACTGTGTCTCGGTGATGCGGTGCTTTTATATATCTAAAATTAAGAGAGTCCTTGCTATTGCTTACCAAAAACTGTTACCTGAAAATGTTATAATTTATCTCAGACTCATCTATAGCCTATCAGGGAATAAATACCTTGAATTCGAGTAATATCAACCCACTGTTACTTGGTTGGGTCCCTTTTGTTCTTTATCTGTTCACTTTCTGTTTCCCAGAAACCTAGAATGATATTGGATATTTGATAACAGTATATCTGCTTTAACATGCATTCTGTGTCCTATGACCTTGAATAACCACACGATGAATTATTCATTAAGGAGCAAGACATTTTTTAAAAGAGTGATATTCTAGGAGCAATTACATGTTTGTGTCACATTATGCAAAATCACATCTTCAAATGTCGATTTCGGGAAAATTTGCTAATGCATGAAGAATCTAGGCTTTCTTTTGGTTCATACGAAGATAGTCTTCTTCAATGATCGTCCCTGTTTACTTATGATTGCATTATGATTTTCAGTTGGGCATGGACTGCTGTTTTCTTCAATGCCATTGTGACATAAAAGTTATGGATGAAGATACAATTTTATTGAGCCTGGAAAATAGACAAGATGGGTTGAAATTTAGCCATGCTATCATAGTTTCTTAGTATTGTTGAAGTTGACAGATATGTAGACTTCCCGGTTATTTCTGCTGGTTTGGATCTACAGCTGCCGATGATAGAATAATAGATAGCTGGTAAAAAAAGTCATTTGACAAGATTTAGTATCTCATGTAATTTGTTTTGAAAGAATCACAGTTGTTTGCGGGGTTGTTGTATATAGCATCCGTCTCTATTGGAAGCGCCTGTAGAGGGTTTTCTAATTAGAATTAGAAATGAAAAACGACACTTCGCCAATATTTTCATGATATGGATCACGACTGTAAATTGCACTGGCATAGTTTGTAAATATTATTCTTTTTTCTGTTAAGAAAAAAGGGAGGATGACGTTGTGTTCGGCAATAAGGAGTTTACTGGTTAATTGAGTTTTGACCCATTTAGGGTTTTTCAGCCATCAGTTATCTAATCTACAATTTCATGTTCTATTTTTTTATTTATCTTTTCAACTTCTTAAAGTATGAGCTGAAGTTAAAGATGTTATAATTATTATCAATAAACATACAATTGTAACAGATCAGACTTGTACATCGTTCTAGTTTAATCTAAACTTCAAAGGATTGAGTTATAAAAAATCATTTAATAAAAGTAGAATGATGGTTTACAGAACTATTTACCATCATTTCATTCTAGATTATTATTATATAGAGCTACATTGTTGATTTCTAAATAGTTGAGAATATAAAAACATCTAAATTAAACTATTAAATGTTGTTTCTGACCGCCAGAATAAAAAAAAAAACTAAAAAGTTAAATATCCTTGTATATAAAGGTATTTTACACTTATACATGAATTAAATTGTTTAATATCTTTCAAATTATTGTGTACCATTTATGAAGCGGCTTTTCAAAGGAATCCCCATTTATAAAAGAAAAATCGCGAAACATTTGGAAAAATATTGAAAATATAAGAAAGTGAAGAATGTGTTTTGATTAATCATAATATAACAGTAGTGTACAAAATAAACTTGTCTACAAAATATTTGTTATTGTGTCGTATGGTCCTCCCATGGCCGTCCTCTTAGGCGGTCCTGGCGTTCTTTCAAGTCCGTCCTCCTATGGTCTCCATCCAGGTCGTTCTCTCGAGTTCGTCGCTCGGTGACGAATATTTTCGTAGCTTTCACTTGAGTTTTTTCGACCTAGGGAACGCTTTCGTAGCTCCTAGTGTCTGTAGTGAGGAACGCTTCGTAACTCTTACTAAAGTCTCTTTAGCCTAGGGAACGTTGTAAGTGAATTCCTAGAGCCTATCTCTCGGGGCAGGGAGGAATGAAGACTTACGGCACATCCAGTACCACGTGAATGACCTCTCTCAAGCTCATAGTAATCCTTGCGCAAATCTTCCAATAAAGAACTTGCTTGGGCATGGGGGGCTTGTGTACCGTACAGTCTCCTAGCACCACCAGGTCGAGTGACCAACCACCCAGGTGAGCTTCAGGCCGGCCACCCAGGCCGACCACCGTAGGCCGACCTCCCACTAGGCCGACCACCAAGCCGAGCACCTTAGGCCGACCACCTAGGCCAACCATCGAGGCCGACCACATGGTTAGAGTATAAACGATAATAACTCATTAAAACCCTTGTTAAAACAGAATGACTCAATTTCTCACACTAAGGGGGGGGGGGGGGGGGGGGGGGGGGGGGGGGGGGGGGGGGGGGGGGGGGGGGGGGGGGGGGGGGGTGGGGGGGGGGGGGGGGGGGGGTAGGGGGTGAATTGTGAAGGTGTAAAAAAAAAAAAAAGCTGTTAAAATTCTTTTCCACAAAAATTGATTCCCTTAATTATACTTTTTCTTTGAATTCGTAAGGTAAAAGATTTAATGCACGGAAACTTTAATCGAATAAGTACAGAAAGTAATCTGATTGAATAAAAGAAGTAGGGATCAAAATTCAAACACTGAGTTTTTATCTGGTTCGGCCAAGCCTACATCTAGTGTCCTTTCCAACTAGGAAGCCAATGCACTATAAACATCAAGGTTTTTACAACAAGGTTTTAATAGAACCTCACGTCAAAAATATAAAACCCCTCTCTAACCCTTTAATCTAATATAGGCAGTCAACAACCCTCTAAATCTAACCCTCCTTTTGCTGTCTAACCGCCTTTGAGGCAACCCTCAAAAGTCAAGAACACACACGTTCTTCTCTTCCTGTGTCATAACATGGAACTCAACCAATCTTCAAGAAGATTGCAGAATCTGATCATGCAGTTTACAACAACAACCCCACGTTGCAATTTGTCAGTCTTTTTGAAGCACAACAGTCTTGCTCTTCAAGAAATCACAATTTGTTGATAACCACGGTCAATCTTGTTTCTTGGATCTTTTCCTCTCTTTCTATAAGATCATATCTTTTTGTAAATGATATGAAAATTGTTAGAATTACAAAAGTACTTACAAAATTCAAATATGCGTCAATTTATAGCATAACACATATCAGACGCATTTTTAATCGATTGAGCTTACTATAACGTAATCGAATATAAACAATCAGTTATAACAAAATTAGCAGAAGTCAAACAAATAATAGAAATGGTACAATTAATGCAGTCGACTATCATTTAATTGCTTGTTCACCATATATAAAATATGACCGTTATGTTAGTTGTTACCAGCATTCAACAAATTTTCAAAAACATCAACTAACTTATTCGAATACATAGTGCATGTATTCGATTAAGTTGAATCTTTTTGCACATTTCTGAAAACTTTTCTTCTTTGAAAAAACTCACAACACACTTTAAAAGAGTTTGTGCAGACACACAAGTTTTAATCGATTCATCCCGTAATGTAATCGACTTAAAACTGTTGTTTTGCCACACATTTAAAGTTCAACCATAGTGTTGTGATTTTCCTTTTCCAAAACATTGT